GTATCCTACCTTCCCACAGTTCAGAAAATAAGTCATATACAGTTTTTTGGATCCTGTAGAAAGAGGTGGAACCCTGCAGGCCACAGAAGCTTGTAAAAATACCAATCTCCTCAAACATAGAAAGAGAATTCACATGCTGGGAAGGCAACTACACTCTCAAATCTGTGGGCAAATGTCCACTATCTACTCCATTCTTCCTGGCACAGATTTTCTTTTCTTTTTGTTTTTTTAATAGGAGTAAGTCTGATGACTTCACACATTTTTTGGCATATTTTAAGTTATCATTACACATTATTTAACTAGACTCCAATTTATTTATATTTATATTATATCTTTAAATATTGAGATTGAGGCTTTTTATGTATTACTGATGATTTTGCCCAAATAATTTGTCCATCTTTATTATGGAATTTTATTTTAACTTTTCAGTAAGAATTTAGTGTGCATGTGTGTGCATGTGTGTACTTTTGGATATTGAACCCAGTTCCTTACCCATGGTAGGCAAATCATTGAGCTAAAATTTCAGCCCAGGAATTTACATACTATTTTTTACCTAATCCATATTTTCTGTAATTTTCTCTCTGCTTTAAACTATGTAGTGCATTTTAAATTTTTCAAAAATTAAATATGCATTAATTTTCATATGGATGTATGTTACAACTTATTTTGCTTCTAATTTTTTCTGTATTATTTTCTGTAAGATGCTGAAAAATAAAATTAAACCATAAATATTATCTCATATCATATTAAAAAATAAACTCAACTTAATTAAAAATTCAATTATAAAACATGACATTTTAAAAGTTGCTTAAAAAGAGCATATTGGAAAAGCTCCATGACATTGATCTGGACAATGACATTTTGGGGAAAAACCCAAAAGCCTACACAACAATAGAAAAATTAGACATATTGGATCACACATCTCCCACACATTCAATTAAAAAATCAACCGAGTAAAAAAGCAATACACACTGTAATAGAAAATGTGTCTAAACCATATGTCTAAAAATGGATTAATGTCCAAAGTATGTAAGGGATTAAAACACATGAATATTAAGAAAACAAAATTTATTATAAAAATAGACAAAGGTTCTGCATAGACATTTTTCAAAAGTAGACATAGAAATGGCCAACAGGTATGTGAAAATAATGGTGTACATCACTAACAATATAAAAATGAAAATTAAAACCTGCACTCATGTTACTATATATATTTTTTAAAAGATGAAAAAATATGCTGTGGACAATGTGAAGAACAGGGGAAATCTGCTTAGTACACATGAGAATATGAATTGGTGTGACTGTATTGAAAATCATTCCAGAATTTTATCAAAAATTAAAAAGAACTACTGAGTGATTAGTTGGATTTAGAGGGGAGAGATTCAAAGATGTTACAAGTACATAGAGTGGTTTGTTTTGGAATAACAAAAATGACATAACTGGATTATGTACATGAACGTAAATCTCGTGCCAAAATCTACTGAATCTTATACTTTGAAAATAGGATAGTGTGCAACTTTTAGTGCAATAAAGCTTTTATTTAAAAAAATTAAAAAGACTGAACCAGCTCTAAATAGATCAAAGATCTGAATATTAAAACATAAACACTAAATCTATTGGAAGACAAATTGGATAAAAACCTTGAAGACACAGGGATAGGTAGAGAATTCATGAACAGGAAACAAACTGCATGGGAACTACATACCAGAAACAATAACAATCACATCTTATTAAAAAGTTTGTGCATGTCAAAAGAAATCTGTAGCCGACTGAAAACACTCAAACTGGGAAAAAATCTTAGTGAACTGTCCCTCAGACAAAGGACTTCTGTCTAAAACATATAAAGAATTTTTTTAAAAATCAGCACCCAAAATTCAAAGACCCAATCCAAAAATGGGCATCTGAGATGAATACACAATTCTCAGATGAAGAAATACAAATGGCAAATAAATGCATGAAAAAATGTTCATTATCATTACTCATTAGAGAAATGCAAATTAAAACCACATTGAGATTCCATCTCACTCCTGAAAGAATGGCTAGGATCAAGAAAACTACCAACAACAAATGCTGGAGAGCCTGTGGGGAAAAAGAAACTCTCCTGCACTGTTGGTGGAGTGTAGACTGGTGCAGCCATTGTGGAGATCAGTCTGGAGATTTCTGAGAAAGCTGGGATTGGAAGTTCCACTTGTTCCAGCTATTTAACTTCTAGGCATATTCCCAGAAGAACTCAACACATCATACCACCGTGATACATGTGCACCCATGTTTACAGAGCATAATTTGTAATAGCCAGATCTTGGAAACAACCTACGTGTCCATCAACTGAGGAATGGATAAAAAAGGTATGGTATTTTTATACAATGGAGAACTACTCAGTTGCAAAGAATGATCACACTGAGATATTTATAAATAAATGGATGCAGCTTGAGACCACACTTATAAGCAAAATAAATCAAGCTAATATATATAAACACCAAATAGTTTCCCCTAGTGTAAAATCTGGTAAGAATACTTAAAAGTATGCGATAATCGTGATTCCCCATTACATTGCTTTGAATGCTTATACTGTTTTCATTCATTAAATGGAATGGTTTTAATCTGGGTTGATTGATTTTATTGTCTGTGATAGTATGAACAGCTATTTTGAAGAAAACAAGACATTATAATAGCTAGTGATGATTTAATGTCATGTTGCTTTGAAGTCCCACCAAGTTTATGTTCTTCGGTCTACATCAGTTTTATCATGTTGTATCATATCGGATTTTTATTATATTTGATAATATAAACAAAATTTTTAATAGAAAAGGAGATAATACAGTAACCATTGTTCATTTTCTGTTAGTTGGTTCTGAATACCCTGTAATACTTTTATTCTTTTGAATGGTTTTACACTGTCTTGTTATGTTTGATACTATAGTATATCAAGACATACTCAAATATCTCAAGGAAAGAGCACTATGGTAGCTAGTGTTCTGTCGGATTGCCTTGTGGTGAAATATCATGTTGCTTAAATTGTTCCATTCTAACCTCTGTTATTATGTTCTCTTTTATCTTAATCTTTTTTAAAATAAAAATTTTAAAACTAAAATAAAATAGAGCTACTGTATCATCCTGCAATTGAAATAGACTGACAGGTAGATAGACAGATAGATAGATTATACATAGATAGATAGATAGATAGATAGATAGATAGATAGATCTATAAATCTTAGTGACTTTTCTCATTGCTGAGACAAAACACCCAACACTGAAAGTATGAGATATGTATTTCAGCTCACAGTTTGTAGAGGTTTCAGTCCATAGTTGGCGAGTTCCAAAGTAGGGCAGCAGAGCAGAGCAGCATCACAGAGGAGAAACAGCCCATGGTGTAGCAAGCAGAAGGCAGCCAGCAGCAGCAGGTCTGCCTGCCCTCTCTCCTTCGATCTTCCATCCAAGTTATAAGTCTTTTGATTGGTGACACACACACTCAGGGTAACTTTCATTATCCTCATCCACAGCTGTGTTAATTTCAATCAGTGGACTAATTTCATACCATACACCCTAATCCTAGTATAATATACCTTATGTTCAGCCAGCTGTGAAAAGTCCCACCTATGAATTCATGGGACATGGGGGGAGGGGCTTTGGGGCGTCATACAGGCCATAACTATAAATAACATAAAACATATGTATACATATATATATATATATATATATATATATGAAATAAAATATGTATGTAGAAGGCATAAATGCATATTGATGTTTATTACAGCATCATTGATACTATAGAATGTGCCTAAGCATCTGTCACTGACTCCATTGATAAAGAATGATGATACGTATATATACAATGGCATCACGGTTCATGAGTTACTCGCTTCAGTTACAATTATAAACCAAATAGGAACAGAACTGAATTAAATGTCTCCATAAGGTCAACATTGAATTAAACCATAGACTTTGATTCAGTTTTCTTCCGGTTTAGTTTACAATTCCAGTCGTGGAAAGAATAATGTTTGATAACTGAGGCACCACTGGTTTAGTTTGAGAACCAAACCTTGTCTTCTGTAACAGCATTCATGAAACTTAGCATCTTATATCAAGTAAACCCAGCCAGGCACATAGAGGAAAATACTGCATAATCTTATTTGTATGTAGAATTTAGCATTTCAGGTTCACAGAAAAATTGTGCAGGAGGATGGCTATGGAATTGCAGGTTTCGGTTGATGAGTTGTTGGTCAAAGGATATACAACTGCAGTAAAATAGTATGCATGATTTCAAGGACTCTATCATACAATACTACCACTATACTTGACAATGTATTTTACTCTTGAAAACTGCTACTGCAGTAAATTTTAAGGGTATTCACCACAAATAGATATTTGTGATGTAACACAAATGTTAATTAGCCTAGTCATTCCAAAATGTGTACATTTTCAACTCATCAAGGTTTATTTGAAGAGGTATGCACAAATTTTAATTTTCAGTTCAATTATCATCATTGTTAAAACCATTCTTATCATAATACAAATGCTACTGTTGGTAAACAGCAAAAGAAAATAAAATTGACCTGTTTGCAAAAAAGATAAACAAAACACCAAAGGCAAATTGTTCCTGTGCCTTGCCTTATAGTTACAATGACAGGTTTCATGTTCTTTCTATGTATATTTTTGTCATTGAGGCAGGAGGTTTGAATATATGCATCACATCTTACATGAAACAGAATAGGACGACTCGATAGTCTTGAAATTTAAATATTAGTTATGTTTTAAAATACAGTTAGGCGTTTATGACATAAACACTTAAAATGTTAGTTTAGTTGAATAATTTCTGTTCTTTAAGAGAAATGTAAAATATTTAACATGAATTGTGTAGCATGAGATCCCCTTGGAAAATAAGCAGATATCAGCTTATTCTAAAGAATATATAGAAATCATAAATAATGACTTATCAAGGAATAAAAAGTTGAATGCTACTTTTACTTCACTTGGAATTATTTTTTTTTCTGCTTATTTCCTGCCACTCAACCAACCTCAGTGTCTGATTTACGAGAATTGGATCCCATCTCTTTATGGCAGATTAGGATGGATCTTGCTTCATTTTTGCATTGTGCATTTTGGTGTTTTGTACAGAGATCATCAACTTTGGGTGCAGAATATCTTTCCTTATTACTTCCACCAGAGAGCTCCTTGCTTTACTGAATAATGGTGGGATTGACGAAGATAGCTTTATACCAGAACTACCTGGAGCTTATGAAGACGGGGTCAGTGACATTCCTTGAGGATGTGAAAAACAAGATGATGGGCGTGGTGGTGCAGAAGAAAACAGTGACTGAAATGTAAAACATTGAGTGGACTTCAGACTTGATGATCTTTGTTTGTGGTGAAACCAAGTGCCTTGTTGATTGTTCACCTGAAGATCTTTCTAATGGAGCAATTGAGGATCTTGCAAACTGTGCACTTGGACTTCTTCACTGGGCAACTGGATGCCTTGTTGACTGGGTACTTACAAGTTTTCCTGATTGAGTTAAAAATCTTGATGCTTGCTGACCTGAGGATGACAGTGGAGCTGAACTCTGTGATGACTTTAGAGTTGAATGGCCTGATAAGGGTGCAGCTGATGGTTTTGATGCTGTAATTGGATATCTTGAGGGCGCTAAAGTGGAAGATTTTGCTGTTGGTAGATCTGAAGATCTTGGTAATTTTGTAACACGATGCCTTGGTGATTGTGCAAATGAAGAACTTTCTGATGGGAAAATTAAAGAAGCTGTTGATGTATGGCCAACCTGATCTGTAACTGTGTCTTTCATTTTAATTCCATATGAGATTATTGGAAAAGGAGACTTGAGTGGAGATAGGGTCATTTCTTCATCTGGTGGAATTCGATTATGGGGAACCATTTCACAGTACTGAAAATGTTCAGGTACAGGTGAAGATGAGTCTACCTTAGGTGTAGTGATTGGAACCCCTGCCTCAGGAGTAATCTGGAGGCATTGAGGATGTGACGCAGCGGGAGTTCTCAAAAGAGAGGATGGAGACAGAATTGGAGAAGGGAAGGTTGTAGGAGTATTTGGCGTCTTTGACCCACTTAGATGAGATAAACAATCAACAAGTAATGGAGGTGGTGAGGGTGGTGCAGTGGGTCTCACAAAAACCTCTCTTTTATGCTGAATTGGAGGTTGGGGTTCCAATTTTTCTCCCATTCCAACTCCATAATGGGTAAATTTCCGAGTGTCTTCCAGGTCTTCAGCTCTACTGCTTGATGAATGCAGAGGATTGGCTAATACTTTGCTTATAGCTCTCATTAAAATATCACTTATTTCAGTAAATGAGGGAGTGGAAAATGAGGAACACTCCACTGGTTGATGCACAAGGGAATGAGAGATGTCTCCACAATCAGCTTGGCTGTAGTCCACTGAAACATCATTTTGCCTCAACTGACACAAAGGCACACTTTCTGGTTCATTGGGATGATACAGGCAATCCTGCCCCTTCAGTATTTCTTGCTTTTGTGCTTTACTCTCATGTGTAAACTTCTCCTTACAACTTTCAAAGCTGCATGAACTATCAGAAAAATTATTTAAACCGGTATCATCTTGGGAATAAGGAGTAAGTACACTGAGAGGTAAAATCTGCCCATGAGCATCAGATATTTTATACATTTTAACAGCTACTGCCTGGGAGCAGTATACCTGCTCCATAGGAAGACTAGCTTCTGTAGCTTTCTTTGATTTTGAAACTTGTGAATGTGGTTCTTTGTAGGTAGCACCCATTAATCGGACTACACGTTTATGTAAAGCCATATATGTCCAAGAGGTATTATCAACCTCTTTGGACAGGTGAGCAAAAAGGTGGTCAGCATAACTATTTAGATTCTGTATTTGAACGGCTATATTCCTTAAACACGTCTGGATGACACGAATTATCTCCTCTTGAAATTCTTTGGGTGTTACCTGTTTAGTTTGATGATCTTCATCCTGTTCATTTAGTGGCTCTGCAGACATGTTTCCTGTGAAGATGTTGGGAGGCTCTGCCGCTATACTGTTCCATAAGCGTCCTCGCCTTTCCTTAGACCCCTTATGGGAGTCTATCTACTTTTGAGCCTGACCAGCATCATCTGACTCTGGCACAGGCTGCTGTGATATGAGGATGAGACCTCTCTCTTTCCAGTTTTATATCAGTAACCAGGCAGCACAGCTCTATGTCACAATGTTATGGTTGAGTCAGCAGTGAAAGAATAATGCTGCCTGGTCATGGCCACACCCCTCTGGTCTACCTTACAGGAGCTACTTTTATGAGGAGGGGCCTCTGGAGAAGAAGAAGAAATGCTATTAATCTAATGTCTCATTCAATCTGTCTGGGTTAGAAAACAATCTCTATTAATTGATTCTACCCTGCAGGACCTTGAATAGTATCCATGACTTCTGTTACTCTAAGATTATCTTCCAGTTGTTATTTTACTTATGAGCCTCATTTGGATGTTATACAGCCATCTCAGACTTGTACTTGATTATTCTTATCTACTCCAATATTCTTCTTCACCTGTGTTCTTTCTCTTTTGAGTAAGATGATTCCATCAATTCAATTAATTCCTCAAATCTAGAAGTTGACTATTTTTTACACCTCCCACTCAGGTCCACTCCCAGTCATCTGGCTTGGTTTACTGTACCCCAAGATAAATTGCAACTTGTGCCCACCTCTCTACAAGTAGCCAGCCTCCCTTATAACACATGTGATCTCCACCAACAGGATGTCTCACGCAGTGAACTCAGTGGTCTCTGTGATTCTTTCATGTCTTTCTTCGCAGATATTCTCTAATCGCCTTAAGTTCCCGTTTCAATCCACTCATATCAGAGACTATACTTTCCATGATTTCTTTCTTTCACATTTATTGAAAGTTATACTCTAACATACAATCTGATTCTCTGGGAGGAAGTTTGTGGGGGTCTTGAGAAGCTTGTGTACCCTGCTATTGTTAGGTAAAAAGTCCTACAAATGTCTAATACATTTTTTGTGCATACTGATGTTCCAGTTTTCTATATGCATTTTGGTCTTCTTTGCAGTTGTGTTTAATATTGAAAATGGAGTGTAAAAATCTCTGAATATTATTACTCAATTTTCTCTTTTCTATCTAAATTCAGAATATCTTTGTTCTTCTCTAATCAGAGACTTTATTTCTAGGCTCACTTATAGTTACAATCAATGAAGCTTCTTGACATACTGAAAATTTCATAATTATAAAAGTCTTCCTTTATCCTACTAAAATTTCATGTCTTAAAAAATATTTTATGATATTAGCATTGCTACTCTATCTCTTGTGATTGCTCTTGTCATGGAATTTCCTCCTATTATTTTTAAAATGTTTGTATCTTGAAAGCTTGTCTCATGAATCTGGTTATGCAATGTAATGTTCTCTGGACTCATTGTTAATGACAGAATTTACTATATTTAAGAAGCTGGATAGTGTTGCATTGCTTATAGACACATTTTTAATTCTATTCATCCAGTATTGAATACTTGATGTGGTCAGACAGTATAGTGTTGAGTCACATTATTTTTCTTTAGATTAATAATGCTTGCTTTCTGATTGCATTATAATTCACTCACATTTAATGTTAATTTGGACATTGTGAAATTTATGCCTCCTATTTCACATTTGGTTTTCTTAATGTTCGTGTTTTTTTTCCATTCTTCATTTGTCCTCTACTATTTTCCTAAGTGTAAAGCTTGTTTTTCTCACATATGTATACGGTCTTTCTACTTTATCACTATTTCTTCATCCTTTTATTGAGCAGATATAACTGTATATTTAGTCCACATATGTTATAATGCCTACTACATATCATTATAAATTTTCCTCAAATAAATGTATTTCCATTTAAGAAAGGGAAGAGAACATGAGTATACTTATACCAAATGTTTTATTTGCAATTTATTTTAACATTTACAATTCTCTCATGTTTCGGAGATTTCAGGATATCATCTGGTATAATTTGCTTACTGTAACACAACTTTGCTCCCATCCAGCTCCTGAGTGTTATACATCATACTGTCTTCATGGCACACATCATATGCATTGATTTTATGCAATTGAAGTTTAAATTATTTAAGAAGAGAAAGAAAAATCAAAGTTCATTTGTCTTTGTATATTTTCTCTGCTGTAACAGAGTACCACACACCTACCAATTTATAAAGAAGAAAGAAGTTATTTCATCTCTATAGAGGATGAAAATTTTAAGAACACACACACACAGGTTCATTGTCTGGGGAGGTTCCAGTCTCTACTTCCAAGATGGTGAATAGAATTCCACTTTCTCTTCAAGTGGAATATCATTCATTAATAAGCATTAATAGAATATTCTTTAATCATACACTGTGAAATGTTAATCGGGCTTAAAAATACAGGCGGTTCTTATACAGGGTACAACATAGATAAAAATTGAGGATGCTTTGCTACCTGCAAGAAAATATTTACAAAGCACAGACATTGTTTGGTTCCAATTATATAAGATACCTAGAGTGGTCAAAGTTTAAAAGGACAAGAAAGTGAAACAGTGGCTCTAGAGGCTGGGGAAGAGATAGATGGGTGGTTACTATTTAATAGTTATGAAGGTTCAGTGTGGAAAGATACAAGGAATTGTGAAGATTGAATCTGGTGTTAGCTGCATAGCAGGAATGTTTTTAACACCATCAAATTATAAATTTAAAAACAGTTAAAAGACAAATTTGTCATGAGTGTTTTGCTGCAAATATACATTTTTAAAATGAATTTAATGTCAAAATGAATTTATCTCCAGAATATCAGCTATGTTGCATCCGATTATAGATCTTGGATTCTGTTAGTTCTACACTGTTTTAATTGCTGAAGCAACCTTTAAAAGCAGGCAATGGGAATCTTTCAGCTCCAGTCTTCCTTGAATAGTTTTAGCTCTTCCAGTCCTCTCATTTCAAGTGAAAATTAATAACAAATAATGTATGGGATTTCAACACGGATTATATTATTTCTGCCAGAAAAGGGGAGGAATATTGTTATTTTACCAAAATTAAAACTCCAAATTTTTTGAATATGAGGTATCTTTTGAGTTATTTTGGGATTAAATTTCTTTCAGTGTTTCATACTTTTCAGAATGTAAGTTTTGCTTTTTCCATAAATAGTGTTGGATGCATTTTTATATTTTGAGATGATTTTCTCTTTTCATTTTCAGATTGCTCATTAAAAGCCTATTCTACACATTTTTCTATGTTTACCTTATGTCATATACAAACTTTTTGGCTTTGATTTACTGTAAAAATTTTAGCAGGGTTTGGTGGCTCATGCCTATAATCCCAGCACTCAGGAAGCTATGGCAGTAGGATCCCTGGGCGTTTGAGCCCAGCCTGGGCTACATAGTGACTTCAAGGCCAGCCTGAACTGCGTAGTGAAACCCTACTTCAAAAACTAAATTACAATTTTAGTATATTCCTTAGATGTTTCTATACATTTATAGTGTATTCTTTAGATTTTTGTATATAAATGATCAGTTTAAGAATAAAAATAAGTTTATTCATTTTCCAATATAGATTCTGTCTTAGTTACTTTACTCTTGTTCAGATAAAATAAACTACACTCACCATGAAGAAAGGAAAAATTTATTTCTTACAGCTTTTGGAGGTTTCAGTCCATGCTCAGCTGGCCCCAAGGCCTGGTGGTCTGCGTGAGGAGCAGCAACTCATGCCAGCCGCAAGCCACAAGAGCAAAAAAGGCAAAAGAGGGAGAAAAGGAGCCCCTTTTCTCCCTTACATTGTGCGCTGCCTCTGCTCCTGGGCTGATACACATTCACACCTCCAATCCCAGTGGTTGACAATGAACCACTCACAGATGCTGGATTCCCCTGCCTCCATGACTGCATGAGGCTTGGGTGACCACCCAGACACAAACTGTAACAGATACAATTAATACAATTTCATTGTTTAGGTGTGTAAACTAGAATTTAAACAAAAGTTTTGTGTAGCAATCATGAGATTAGCCATTTTTTTTTCTCATTGCAGAAATCGTGGGATCAAGTGTTTCATTTTTCTGAAAAACAATTATGTTATCTCTATCTTTGGTTTCATCGTACATGCCTTTTATCACACTGAGACATTTCTATTCCTAACTTGTGATGGTTTTATCATGAAGCTGTACTGAATTTTTGCACATTTTCTGCATATCAATATGATAGTCCATTCTTGTTTTTCAACTCTTCTTCCAGTCTTGCCTATTTTCTTCTACTCTTTTAGTTTCTGAAAAGAAGCATGTTATACCATTTGTTATAAACAAACAAGTCACTGAGATTGTTTGGTATTCTTAAATCTATATTCCCTCTTTTGCTAAGGCTGGGTATTTTTATTATGTTCTTTGAAGTTCATAATTTGCACACTACCATTTACACTATCAATACACTCCTAGTTGACATTTTTTTTTCTTTTTCGAGTACTACATTTGCTTCTTCCTTATATTAGTTTTCTATTTCTGTACTGAGAATTTCTGTTTCATTTCTGAACGTACTATACTTTTTGTGTTGTTTTGTTTTGTTTTTTGCGACAAGGTCTCAAATCATGGCAATTCTCCTGCCTCACCTTCCTGAGTGCTGGAAATAGAGTTGTATACCATCAAAATCACTCACAGATTTCCAAAAAATTTCATTATTGTGTCTGAAATTCCCCTGCATATAGTCCATCTGGTTTGGAAGTATAAATCATTTTAAAGCACATTACAGCTGTATTTATATTTTCTTTATTATTATTCTTCCTCATTTATTGACCTTCTTTTCACTCCTAGTCATATTTATTGCATATTGTTATCTTCATGTAGTTGTTCAGATTACAAGATGTGGACATTAAAAATTGATCAATGTGCTTATATAATATGTTTAATTTGTCCATGATTGTAAATCATCATATTTGTACATCTTAGAAGATGAAGATAAATATGAGAAGTTTCACAGGTCCATCACATTATTGTCTTTCTGGATGGTGAATTTCAAGATATTTTAAAATCTCTCATTCTTCTTGAGCATTTTTCCATCTCATGGTCTCTCTCTTTCTGGTTTCTAGATTCAAGTGTAGCTTTGCTATCTAAACTTGCCTTTGTTTATCTTTCT